GGCTAGTCATATGATACACAATCACCTCCAGCTTCCGAAAAACGTCGACATTTTATTCTTCTTTATGGTGAACATGTGATTTTTCTGTGGATTCTGTTTATATGCAGTATCCCTTATCAGTCTGAGTATGTGGAACCATCCCTGAATTGATGAGTCCTGGAGGAACTCATTCCATTGTGACCTGTATTGCCTGTCTCATGTGTTGCTGAAATTGGTGTGAATACTGAGTATTCACACTTAAGATTTTCAAGCAGAGCCTCATGGAGGAAATAGACTTATAATTTTTCCTATTTATGGCATCTTTATTAGGTTTTGGTATCAGGGTGGTCTGGTTTTGTAGAAGCAGTTTGGAAGCATTCTGTCCCATTCTATGGACTAGTCCAGGGATCATTTCTTCAATTTGTCTTATAGGCTTATGGCATTGGACTTTTCTTCTGTTGAGGGATTTTTTTCATTACCTTTTCAACTTTGTTATTGATCAACTAATATGTTTTACAAATTACTTCTTCAATTTTGATAGGCCATGTGTGCCTAGAAATGTGCCCACTTATTCCAGATTCTCCAGTTCACTAAAGTATGTTTTCAAAACATTTCCTTGTAGTCCTGGATTTCAATGGTACCTGAAGTGATATTGTCTCCTTTTTTCTCTAATTATATTAATTTGTGTCTCCTCTTTCTTGGTTAGTTTTGGGTTTTCAGTTTTGTATGTCTTTTCAAATATCTTTGTTCCTTTTTTCTTTTTTTCTGGTAACATTTTGTTAACTTCAGTTCTGTTCTTTTTATGCATTGCTGGCCACTGCTTAGGGACTGGTTTGCTCTGTTTTCTCTGACCTGGAGTGCATCATTAGGAGGCTTAGTATAGTTCTGATTATTGTTTGATAGTTATAGGATGAATTTTAGTCATTCGCATCCCAGTCCCCTTTCTCATTCTCATGCCTCTCCCTGTCCTGCCTGAGCTCTTCTTCTCAAGAAGCCCCCCTCCAACTTATATACCTTCTTTTTAATGTGTGGTTCCATAAGTTTCATTAGAATGTATTGTTCTGTTATGGTTGAGAGAGTATTTGTTAGAGCAAGGGCAAAGGCAGCCCCCCCCCACCACACACATTTGCTTGTTTTTTTTATTGTTCTCTCATACAAAGCATTCCAACCACACACTCCCCTCCTTCCACTCCTCCCATTTCCTCCCAACTCCCTCTCTCCTTCCATATCCATTCCTTCTCCCTTTCCCTTCAGAAAAGAGCAGACCTCTCAGGGATATCCCCTGATGACATAACAATAAAGATGACAATAAGACATAAAGATGCAGTATGATTAGGAAACATAAACCCTCATAACAAGGCTGGATTAGGCCATCCAGTAGCAGGAAAAGGGTCCCAAGAGCAGGGAAATGAGTCAAAGACACCTCTGCTCCCACTGTTAGGAGTCCTACAAGAAAAACCAAGCTAAACAACTACAGCACATTTATGGAATATCTAGAATAGTGGCATGAAAGCTCTATAGTTGCTGCTTCATTTTCTGTGAGCTTCTACGAGCACTGCTTAGTTGACTTTGTGGGCTATGTTCTCCTGGTATCCTCAACCCTTCTGGCTCCTACAATCCTTCTTTCCCCTCTTCCTTGGGGTTCCCTGAGCTCCACCTAATGTTTGGCTGTGGGTCTCTGCCTCTGCCTCTGCTTCTATCAACCATGGGAGGAAGTACCTCTGATGATGAATGGGCTAAACACCAGTCTATGAGTATAGCAGAATATCATTAGGAATCATTTCATTGACCTTTTTTGCCATTCATATGTTGTTCTATCCTAGATATCTGGGAGATCCAGCTTTCTGGTAATTCAGGCAGTGTTAGGGCCTGAGTTCCTTCTCTTGGTGTGGGTCTTAAATTAGACCAGCCATTGGTTGACCGCTCCCACAAGCTCTGAGCCACCATTACCCCAGCACATCTTACAGGCAGGATAGTCTATAGGTTGAAGGGTTTGTGGCTGGGTTTATGTCCCAGTCCCACTCCTGGGAACCTTACCAGGTTACAAAGACGGACAGTTCAAGCTCTGTATTCTTCATTACTAGGAGTCCTCACTAGTGTCACCCTCATAGGTTCCAGGTAGTTTCTCTGGACTAGTTTTCCACATTGCCCACCAAATGCCCCCAATTCCAATCATCTCTCCCAGTACTGTCTCTCCCCAACTCGATTCTTCCTGTTCTCATCCTCACCTGCCCCAAGTTCACTCATAAAAATCTTTTTATTTCCCATTCCTAGAGAGATCCATGTACCCCCTCACTAGAGCCCCCTCTTGTTACTTAGCCTCTCTGGGTCTGTGGATTATAGTGTGGTTATCTTTTACTAAGAAGCTAATACCCACTTATAGGTGAATATATATTATGTTTGAGCTACTGAATCTGGGTTGCCTTGCTCAGGATGATTTTTTTCTAGTTCCATCATGATGTCATTTTTAACAGCTGAGTAATACTCCATTGTATAAGTGTACCACATTTTCTTTATTCATTCTTTGGTTGAGGGATGTCTAGGTTGTTTCAATTTCTGATTATTATAAATAAAGCTGCAATGAACATAGTTGAGCAAGAGTCCTTGTGGTAGGATTCTGAACAGCTGCTGTATTGATTTCCATAGTGACAATGAAGTTTGCACTTTCAGAAGCAATGGAGGAGTGTTCCCCTGAGCAAGGGCATCTTAACAGTGGCTACATCACTGAAGAAAATGATTCCTTTCCAACCAATGGTTCCTTCCAGTAGTCCCTCAGATGCCATGAGGTCTCATAGACCCCTCTCCTACCAATGATAAAGAGTTGATGAGGAGCCCAGGCTTGTGTGGATGACTGCATGAAGTGAGGTGAGTTCACGAGTGTTAAAGTCATGCCATATCCAGAGCCATGTCTTTGCCTCTCTTTGTCCGCATTCCCGGAGTCTTGGAGGGGGTGATAGAACTATCTCAGTTAGGGCTGAGCACTTCACATCTATCTCTTAATCTCGTCACTTTGGCTGCAGCAGTAGGAAGCTTCACTGATGGTTGGTTGCAGCATCAATCTATGAATATATGAATATCAACTGTGTATTTAGAAGGTCATCTGACAGCGTGAAATCAGCAGCAGGTTCCCCCTGGACATATGACCTTTCCTACTAAGGGTTCTTGACCAGTTTTCAGAATCAGACATGCGTTCCCTCCAATCCGAAAGTGGTTGTTAACCCCATACCAGTTAAGCCACAGTTTCCCTAGAGAGCATGTCTTGCTTGGGAAGTCATTATTGTAGCTCCTGGGTTCACAGCTGGGTCAGACTGTTGGTGACTCTTCTCCCCCAGCAGTCTGCAGAGCATCTTCTGGCACTGTGAAGGCAGCAACTTTGGCACCGTGAAGAGTAGCCCATAGGGAGAAAACTTGCAGCTCATCTTCAACTTGATTTCTGTACGTTCTGAGACCAAGTGAGTGGTGTCCAGGAATAGGATCTTACCACCAAGTCTGGTGAACAGTTAAGAACAGTGGCAATGGTCTGTTGTTTTGAGGGTCTTTGGAGTTTCCTTGGCTGACAGTATCTGACACAGGGATATTTACTTAACCAATGGCTATTAGAAGGAGCTATATTCATTCATTGAGGACACTGTCATGCAAATTTACTTTTTACATTGTAGTTTTTAATAAGCATATATGATCATATTTTCACATGTATTTTTAATATATCCTTGGTTTTGGCTACTGCTCCCATGCCTAGTAGTCCCTTCTTCCCCCTTCATGACTGATATGTTCTGCTATCCCCTTCCCCTTAAGGTCTCTTTCATGCCTCCATCCATCTAATGGTCCCTTTCTATCTTTCTGGCCATCATTAGCATTCAATGTTAAACAAGTAACTTTAAAAATGTATCACTGAAATTGGCTTGTAGGAGACTTCTCATGGCATTTGTCTCTTCCCATATAATATTTTATGGAGCCATTCATTCACTTGGAAATTTCATTATTTTTTATTTCTTTGCCAATAAATACAATTTCATTGTGGATATGACCCTTTTCATTTTTCATCCATCCACTGGACACTTAGGCTTGTTCCATCTCCCCCCCCCTGCTGTAAGCAGAGCAGCAGTGAACATGGAAGCACAGGTAAATCTATGTAGGGATGAAGTCCTTTGGGGAGATGCCCAAAAGTGGGATACTTGAGTTGTATAGCAGTGCTATACTTAGATTTTGAGGACTCTACAAACTGATTTCTATGGTGGCTGCATCCATTCGTACTCCCATACACCCGTGCATACTCTAATACCCTCGTTAATACTCCCATACACTCGTACATACTCCCACAACCCATTCATATTCCCACACACCTGTTCATACTCCCACAACCCATTCATACTCCCACACACCTGTTCATACTCCCACACACCCGTTCATACTCCCACACACCTGTTCATACTCCCACACACCTGTTCATACTCCCACAATCTGTTCATACTCCCACAATCTGTTCATACTCCCACACACCTGTTCATACTCCCACAACCCATTCATACTCCCACACACCTGTTCGTACTCCCACAACCCATTCATACTCCCACACACCTGTTCATACTCCCACACACCCGTTCATACTCCCACACATCTGTTCATACTCCCACACACCTGTTCATACTCCCACAATCTGTTCATACTCCCACAATCTGTTCATAATCCCACACACCTGTTCATACTCCCACAAGCCATTCATACTCCCACACACCTGTTCGTACTCCCACAACCCATTCATACTCCCACACACCTGTTCGTACTCCCACACCCCCATTTGTGCTCACACACCCCCGTTCGTACTCCCACACACCCGTTCACTCTCTAATACACTCCTTCATGCTCCCATATACTCGTTCATACTCCCACACCCCCATTTGTACTCCCACACCCTTGTTCACACTCCCACACCCCCGTTTGTACTCCCACACCTCGTTCACACTCCCACACCCCCGTTTGTCTCCCACACTCTTGTTCACACTCCCACACCCCCATTTGTCTCCCACACTCTTGTTCACACTCCCGCACACCCGTTAGCACTCCCACACCTGTTTGTACTCCCATTCTCCCATTCTCCCATTCGTACTTCCACTCATAGTGAATAAAAGATTCCTCTTCCCTATATTCTTGCTGGCTGCTGGCATTTCTACTGATTTGTTTTTCTGATTATACTCATTCTGATTGCAGTGCAATGAAATTTCCAAGCTCTTTTAAAATCACATTTCCATGGTGGCTAAGGATGATAAACACTTAAAATGTTTATTAACCACTGTTTTGAGCACTTGTTGCTAAGTTCCTTAGGCTATTTTGATCAGATTGTTTATATCTCTGATTGTTTAATGAGGGAACTTACGGATATGAACTTCCCCTTAAAAAATGTCCTTCATAGGCTGACATATTTGAACACTTCGTCCCTAGTTGGTGGCACTGTTTGAGGTTATTGAACCTTTAGAAGTTCAGCCTTGCTCGAGTATTTATAGCCTCCCCTGATTTGCTCTTCTGTGTGTCTAGCTTATGACCTCTTAGATTTTTGCTTCCATCTTCGACCACACCTTGCCTGCTATTATGGATGCTCCATCTGGAAGCCAAAATCAACTCTGCTGTATGTACTTTACAGCCATAGTAATTTAATTTAACAATAAAATTTAACAGAACTGCTTTTGTTTTTTTATATCCAGTATTGTGAGCTGGTACTGAGATAGACAATGGATGGAAGCAGGACTGACGGGGTGATGATGCGGCAGGACCCACAGGACAGATGCTTTGAAGAGGATGTCCTTAAAAATAAATATAAGATCCTCAAGACCCTCGGCACAGGAAACTTTGCTCAGGTGAAACTGGCTCTCCACCTCCTCACAGAGGTACCAGTTGCTCTGAAGATGCTGGAAAAGGATAAAACAAATTCCCCTATTATCAAAAATGAGGTAGAAATTATGAAATTTCTCGATCACCCTAATATAATCAAATTATTTCATGTTTTGGAAACCACTCAACACATCTACTTGGTTTTGGAATATGCCTCTGGGGGTGATCTGGCTAGTCATATACTAGAAGTGGACCATATACCAGAAGTGGAGGTCCGGCACATATTCACACAACTGGCATGTGCAGTTAAATACTGCCATGAGAACGAAATAGCACACAGGGATATCAAGCCGGAAAACATTCTGATGGATCCAATGAAGAATATTAAGCTGTGTGATTTTGGATTAGCCATCAATGTGAGTGCTGAGCCAGATTCAACAGTGTTCTGTGGCACCCTTCCCTACTGTGCCCCAGAGCTCTTCAGTGGCCAAGGCTATGATCCCAGGGCACTTGACATCTGGAGCATGGGAGTGGTTCTGTATATTATGTTAACAAAACATTACCCATTTAAAGGGACAACTTATAATCAAATGAAAATCAAAATGCAGAAGCCACATTTCTACATTCCACCAAAGCTCCCAGTACACATTGCCAGTCTCATCACCAAATTGTTCACTACAGATCCTGGGCAGAGGCCCAAGATACAGGACATCATACAGTATCAGTGGCTCAAGGGCAGTGAAGAATTTTCAAAATCCACCCTGTCCCTAGAACCACTCCCGAACAAGCCCAACCCCAGGATTATAGCAACCATGTGGGGCATGGGCTATAGCCTCAAGGACATTGGTGACTCTTTATGTGAGAACAACTTTAATAGTCTAATTGAAACATATTTAATATTAAAATACCAGTCACCCTGCATGGACAACTCGGGAGAAAATTTTACACTGCCCAATATTGCCATGGCACCTGAAGATCCTACCACCTGCCATTCCTTCCTAAAGAGCATAGGGAGTGAGCCTGACAATTCCACCTCTTCATCCCAAGATAATAAAATTTTAAAAAAGAAAGAGACCAAAAATCACAGCATGCCTTCCATCCACTGCTGTCAGCAAAAAGGCCAACCTCACTCCACAGGTGTGCAGTGTGGTCATTTGCAGCATGACCATGAACAGATAAACAGCCTGCAAAAGAGAGGCAGTGTTTCCAGGGGCCTGTCCTGTGGTTCTTTGCAGCATGACCAAGAACACCTTCTGAGGATCAGGGCTTCCAAGAGCGTGTCCTGTGGTCCTTTCCAGCATGGCCATGAGCATCTTCTGAGGATCAGGGCTTCCAAGAGCATGTCCTGTCATCCTTTCCAGCATGGCTATGAGCATCTTCTGAGCAGCAGGGCTTCCAAGAACGTGTCCTGTGGTCCTTTCCAGCATGGCCATGAGCATCTTCTGAGCATCAGGGCTTCCAAGAGCGTGTCCTGTGGTCCTTTCCAGCATGGCTATGAGCATCTTCTGAGCATCAGGGCTTCCAAGAGAGTGTCCTGTGGTCCTGTGCTGCATGTCCATGAATACCACCTGTGCAGCAGCCTGCAGAAGACAGACATTGTTTCCAAGAACATATCCTGTGGTCCTGTGCAGCACAACCAAGACGAACAGCTTCTGAGCATCACCTTACAGAAGAGAAGCAGGGTTTTCAAGAGCTTGTCCTGTGGTCCTGCGCAGCCCAACCATGATGAGCAGCTCCTGAGGAGCAGCCTGCAGAAGAGAGGCAGGGCTTCCAAGAGTGCATTCTGTGGCCCTGTGCAGCACGACCTTGAGCAGCACCTGGATATACTTTCTGAAGACCACATCACCCAGGTGGAGGCCCAGGATGAAAATCCCCATAAGAGCAGCTCATTCCTCCAACATACACCATCTTCGAGGAGCGCCAAAGAGGGATTTGAGGATGTGACCACCACAGACGCTCATCAGGACAAGAGCTTGACCCCCCAGGAAATATCAGAACCAAACCACACCAGTGCCCAACCCCAGAGAGTGACCATAGCCTCTCCTCGCCTATGGGGTGGATGGAAGCAGGTGAAGAGGAGACTAGTGAAGGGATTACGAAGATTATGCTGCTGTTTGCTAGCTGAGGAGAGAAGCTGTGCTTTCCAGAGGAGAGTGGCTCCACAGGAAGGAGGGCACAATGGAGTCACATAAAACAAGGTGGAAGGGGACCAGGGGAGTCCCAGAAAATCAGCTAAGGTGGACCAAGATGCACTTCTCTATTTTAATTTATGCATTTTCTAACATCCTTTGGTAACTGACACATGGTAATTGCACCTTCTTCTGGGATATGCACCTTAACATATGTACCATACCCTGTGCTGCCAGCAATTGAGGATCCAACCTCACATCACTCTCCTTATATGGAACCTGAGAATGTTGACTGTAAACAGAAGTTTCTGTCCTGCCTTTTCCTGCAGCCATTCAGTCCCAAAGAAACATACAGAGGCTTATATTAATTATAATCTGTTTGGCCTATTAGCTCAGGCTTATTTTCAACTAGCTCTTACAACTTAAATTAACTAATTATTCTTATCTATGTTTAGCTGTGTGACTTGGTCCCTTATCTCAGTGAAGTATTTTCATCTTGTTTCCTCAGTGTCTGGGTGGTGGCTGCAGACTGAGCCTTTCCTTTCCCAAGAATTCTCTAATCTCATCGCCCCACCTATACTTCCTGCCTGGCTACTGGCCAATCAGCTTTTTATTAAATCAGTATGAGTGACAAATCTTGTCAGGGTACAAGAGCATTTTCCCACAGAAGTTGACTAGAGGGAGACAACAGAGGATGGTGACCAGAGGCTGGGGGAAAGGGCAACTGTGGGGCTGTTGGCTAAAGGGAGCAAAGATGAAGGGAGGAGTCAGGTGGGGGCCTATGCACAGTGGGACCGGCACAGTCAACAGTAAGTTCTGTGGGTTTCAGCCAAAAGACAGTGCCTTTCACGTGTCTCTGCTTTTAAGCGATGAGCCTCCATGGATGCCGAACCACAGGGTGAGTGGGTATCTGCCTGGTGTGGACTGAGACAGTTGCAGCAGGAGGCAGGCAGGACATCTCGGTGGCAGTGTGTCCACATGTCCTGCACAGAAGCCTTTGTCCAATACAAGAGCAGGTAAGTGAACTACCACAGGCTTCTCCCCAGGAAATCCCAGGTAGGAGCATTTCGCAGTGTCCTGCTTGTAGTGGGAATTGACTGCCTGGGTGAGAAGCACCTGTATCCTTACTTGGAGCAAGCATCAAAGATACCTGATGGGATGCATCCTCTTGCCCTGCTCACCTTTTTCTCATGTGTGAGAGGAGATGGCTGAGAACGTTGGAGGAATGATCTTCTCATCAGACAGACGGTTACTACCTCCCTACCCCAGCTGAGCCCAGGTAGGTTAGCCTGATTGAGTCCACACCCCAAGCAGTCTTTTGTGACAAACAGTTGACACTTGTCAGGGTGGACAGCCCTACAAGAACAGTTTCGGGGACCTGCTGACACTGGTCGTGAGCTCTTCCCTTGTCCCTTTGGGGTCTCAGAGTTCCTCCTTGTCAATTGGCTTGACAACTGTTTTACTCAGTCTTGCCAAGGTAGCGTCACCTTAGTGGGATGCTGGTCTCAAACTGTCACACAGTAGAAGATGCTGCATCTATTGGTGCTGTAGGATTTGGATTCCAGTGTGGCCAGGTTAGTGGATGGCATGTGTGGTTAGGAGGCAGATGGATGCCTGTGTTAGAATGCCTCTGGTATTCTTCTTGGGGTGGGTGAGTCCTGTAGCTCGTGCAGAGCAAAGCCTGGGAAAACCTGATCTTGACAGTGTCTCCAGAGTGGCTGTATGTCCTTACTCCCCAATCTCCCCTGCTGGTGTTGGTTTTGCTTCCTGTTCCATGGGCCTCATCCCTTCCAGGCTAGAGGACCCAGTCTCATGTCATTCTGGGCCAGTGAGTAACAAGGAGGAAGCAGCCCCTTTTGCATGGACTTAAATCAGAGTCAAGCCTGTCTTGGTTCTGAAAGGACAGCGCCGGTGAGCTGGAGAAGCATGTGTGTCACTTTGGACGACTGAGATTGTGCTCTGCTTTGTAGAGGTGAGTGGGCCTAGCCAGGCCTAGGGCATGGCAACACCAGATGCTATTGTTAGTAGCTGTGGAACTCATTTGAACCCCGTGTCCACATTTAGGGTCAGGCCTAGACAGAAACATTGATCATCATCAGGCTAGGGGTTTTAGCCAACACTGTCAGCTTATGTGTCTTGCTGTATGAGTTGTGTGCATGTTCTCCTGGGTAGAGAGTGGCTCCTTGCATTGAAGAGTGGCCACCCACACAGTGTTGAACGCAGGGGCCAAATGTATGGGACTCTCACTGCTGAAGATGTCACTGAGTCCTTTGGAAAAGATAAGTTGCAGGGGTCTGATCTAACCTCAATACTGACCTGACTACAAAGAGAAGTGTGAGGTTGCTGAGGCCAGCCTGCCTCAAGCCCAAGAACAACTGGCACTGGCTTGCCTTACAAAGGAGGACAGGGAGAGGGCATAGGTGTGACTTTGGAAGGGTCTTGAGGGCAGCCCACCTTCACCCTGGCCTTCTATGCTGCAGCAGTTCGAAAGAAAATAACCACCAAAGGGACTGGCACTATTGTGAGGTGTGGCCTTGTTGGAGTGGGAGTGGCCTTGTTGGAGGAAGGGTGTGACTGTGGGGCGGGCTTTGAGGTCTCATAGATGCTCAAGCCACACCTAATGTCTCAGATCATTTCGTGTTGCTTTCTAATCAAGACACAGTCATCACTATGTCTGCCTGCACACTGCCATGACCCGCCATGATGATAATGGACTGAATCTCTGAAAATGTAAGACACCACAGTCAAGCTTTTCCTTTATAAGAGTTGTCATGGTCACGGTGTGTCTTCACAGCAGTAGAAACCCTAAGACATGTGCCTTGACCATCATGGAGAAAAGCTTGTGTTGAAAATGGACAGCATCTTTTCACACTTGTACACACGGCAGCCATTCTGTATCACTGCCATGAGGACCAGCCTCCGCGAGCCTGAGCAGTCAGGGGACCTTT